AAGTACATCAGCTAATGCTTTTTCTGCTTCTGATCCAAGATTAATACCACTAAGATCAAATCTTTCAGTGTGGTATTTTTACAAAGTGTATTTGTAAGTTCATTTATATGGCTAGACTATAAATTCAAAATAAAAAATAGATTTAGCTAGAATAAGCAAGTTGCGTACTTAAGAAAAATTTTTTTTGATAATCCCCAGATTGGCCGGATTGGCCGAATTTGATCCGAATCCGGGGATTGGATCGATTTCGGTTCAATTCCGGATCAATCTGTGATTTTTGATCCAGTTCGGAACACTATATATATCCTACACTTATAAATTATTATATAATATATAAAAACACTCTAAAACTATGTTTAGTACTAAGTAAACTGACAAGATCAATTAAGACAACTTTGTTTTCTAGACTAATATAGTTCTAAAAGTGGTAAGATTATTAAAAACAGCTTTATAAATTTTTTTTTATAGCTTATCAAAGTTTTAAAACGATTGATTAAATTATGTAATTTATACAAACAATCATTTTAAAATTTTGAGAAGCTATAGAAAAAGAACTATGAGACATTTTTACTAATCTTATTACCTTTAAAAGTGTCTTGGTCTAAAGAACAAAGTTGTTTTAATTAATCTTGCCAGTTTACTTAGTATCAAACATAGTTTTGGAGCAGTTTTTTATTTATTTTTATATTTTTAAAGTTAAATAAAAAAGTGCTTTGGAACAGCATAGATAAAAATCCATTGATTGGTCAATTTTTTAAAATACTATATTATACTATTTATGCATGCATCACATGGCGATTTACGCCAAAGCTACAAAATTTTTTTTCTAAGGTATTGTGACTTAAAATTTCGTATTTATACTCAACAAGGACCTAGTTTTCAAGATCCAAAAATTAAATTTCAAGATTCAAAAATAGGCGAAACTTCTGCTAGTGACAATGCCAAGGGGTAGACCACGTAAAAATAAAGGACTATGTGCAGTATGTGGCAAGAATGACCTTAAAGAGAGGTTTCACATACTGACACCAGAACTTTTCTCCAAAGCTATGCAAAGTCCAGCAGTTTCTAATTTAAACGTAGAACTTAGCTTATATAACCAATTATGTCATAAACATTATGTTGAATTAATTATGTTTGATAGAAACTTGAACTCGAATAAAAGACGAAAATATAGTTCAAACTATGATAAGAAAGATGTGAAGGATGAAAGTTCTAATGAACAATACAATATTGGAGATCAATACGAAAATGGCCTAGGCATTTCCAAAGATGAGAAAAAGGCATTCAAATGGTATCTAAAATCTGCTGGAGGTGGAAATCCCAATGGACAATTAAAAGTTAGAAATTGTTATCAAAACGGCAGAGGTATATCAAAAGATGAAAAGAAGGCATTTGAATAGTATTTGATATCTGCTAGAAGTGGAAATTCTGCCAGAAAATTGAGCATGGGAAATTGGTACCAAAATGGCATGGGTATACTTAAGGATGAAAAGAAGGCATTCGAATGGTATTTAAAATCTGCTAGAAGCAGAAATGCTGATGGACAATTACTTGTTGGGAAGTGCTATCAAAATGGCATAGGCGTAGCCAGAAATGTAAAGAAGGCATTTGAGTGATATCTGAAATCTGCTGATGGTGGAAATCTTGATGGACATTTGAATGTTGGAGACTATTACCGGAATGGCATAGGTATACCTAAAGATGAAGAGAAGGCATTCGAACAATACTTAAAATCTGCTAGGGGTAGAAAATCGATGGGACAATTAAATATTGGAATTTGTTACCAAAATGGTATTGGTGTTCCTAGAGATGAAAAGAATGCATTTGAATGGTATTCGAGATCTGCAGAAAGTGGAAATCCTAATGGACAGTTAAATATTGGATTTTGCTATGATGAAGGAATAGGCGTTTCAGAAGATAAGAACAAAGCAATTGAGTGGTATTTAAAATCAGCTGATAGTGGCAATACGAGTGAATGGTCAAATACTGAAATTTATAATAAGGAGATAAATATTTATTTGCCTCGAGAAATTTATAAATACTTATTAGGGAAAATTTCAAATGTTCAGAACTCACGTCACGGTAAAGTATAGATATTCATTAAGATTCTGTAAGCGCCAATATTTATTAGGGTATTAAATAATAATTTTTTTTAAATATTTATTATTTATAATATTTATTCTTACAGAAATTGAATGATTTTCAAAATATTTTAATAATTAAATAGCACGAATGACAAAAGTTCTTTATCATGATCAATGTCAAGGAAATCAACCACAGTTGAATGTTAATGACTTTGTTAATTTAATTGAGTATAAAGATCCAAAACTTCAAGGCTTTTTTAATGTTTTATACAATGCAATGAATTCCAAGGAAAAAAATCAAAAGGTGCAAAACATCTTGAAGCAAAAAATTATAGTATTTTGTTACCAAATGGCCGGATTAAGAAACAAGCAAGTGAGTGGTTCTAAATCCTCAATAGGGTTATTCTTTGCAAAATCTGAAGCATCAGCACATTGTATCAATACAGCAGCCAGTATAGGGTTATGTACTACATATCAAACAGCTTCTAATAAGCTTAATAAAATAAGTAATGAACATTATTTTAGTGTACAAAAATATATTAGAATTCATGTAAGTTAAAAGCTTTAATATTTAACTTAATATATAAGGTAAAGGGGGGTATTATGACGCAGTTAACATTCTCTATAAGATTACTTTATAAAGTTAATTTATAATT